AACAACAACAACAGCAACAGCAACAGCAACAGCAACAGCAACAGCAACGCAACAAGCAGATGTCTCACCACGAATTCCCTGTTCGTCCACGCACACAGGGAGAATGAAGGACCGCTTGGCCTCCTCAATCTGACATTCCCAGTATCCTCTCATTCACATTCCAATTGCATTACATTCCCATTCCCATTTCCATTATCATTTCCATCTCATTCCATTCCAGTCCAACCCAGTCCATTCCCATTCCCATTCCCACTTGATTCCCATTCCCATCCCATTCCCACCCCCATACCCATGCCCATTCCCATTTCGGTCCATTCCGTTACCATTCCCATTCCCATTCCCATTCCCATTGCATTCCCATTCCCATTGCATTCCCATTCCATTCCATTCCATTCCATTCCTATTCCAATCCATCACAGCCCAGTCCATTATATGATCATTCCCATTATCATTATCATTCCATTCCCATTCCGTTCCATTCCCATCCCCATTCCCATTCCGTTGCGTTCCAGTCCCATCGCATTCCCGTTCCCATTCACATTCCTATTCCATTCCCATTCCCATTATCATTCCCATTTTCCTTCCAGTCCAGCCCAGTCGGTGCCCGGACAAAAAGTGTCCACGCCGACGGCGTGAAGACAATCAGGCATGATGGCAACGACAAGTGCAATACGCATCTGATTTGCTCTCCCTCACCCTCAAACCCGAAGTTGAAGCGTCATATTTTGTCCCCGCGCGTTGCCTCGCACCCAACCCCGTCAACTTTGGGTTGGGGGGGCGGGGGCTATGGATATTTGCTCGACTCAGTTCGATGTCGTATCATATTGGCGCGATGTGTGTGTGGACACTTTTTGTCCACCCACCGGTCCTTTCCATTTCCATTCCAGTCCGTACCATTTTATTTCATTACCTTCCCATTCCTATTCCCTTCCCTTTTCCCTTCCCATTCCCATTTCCACCCCACTCCATTCCCATTCCAATTCCATTCACATTCTCATCGACATTCACATTACATTAAAGTCCACTACATTCACATTCCATCCAGTCCAGTCAAGTCCAGTACATTCCATTCCCATTCCGTCCCATTCCCATTCCAGTATATTTCCATTCCGTATTCCATTCCAGTCCAGTCGAGTCCATGCCATTCCCAACCCAATCCATTCCATTACATTCCCATTTCCATTGCCATTCCCATTCCCATTGCAGTCCCATTCCATTCCATTCCAATCCATTACAGCCCATTCCATTATATTCCCATTCCGTTCCATTCCCATCCCCATTCCCATTCCGTTGCATTCCAGTGCCATCGCATTCCCGTTTCCATTCCCATTCACGTTCCCATTACATTCCCATTCCCATTTTCATTCACATTTCTTTTTCCTGTCCAGTCCAGTCCTTTCTATTTCCATTCCAGTCCGTCCAATTATATTACAGTACCTTCCCATTCCCTTTCCTGGTCCATTCCCATTCCCATTTCTATCTCATTCCATTCCCATTCAAATTCCAGTCACATTCACTTTCACATTACATTACAGTCCAGTCAATTCCCATTCACATTCCATCCATGCCAGTCCAGTCTAGTACATTCCATTCCCATTCCGTTCCATTCCCATTCCCATTCCATTACATTCCCATTCAGTATTCCAGCTCAGTCCAGTCCATACCATTCCCAACCCAATACGTTCCATTACATTCCGATTTCCTTCCCATTCCTAATCATCCCATTCCCCCATTACATTGCATACCCATTACATCCAATTGCATGCACATTCCCACTCCAGTCCAATACATTCACATTCCCATTCCTATTCCAATTCCCATTCAACTCCCATTCCCATTCCAATCCATCCCCACTCCAATTTCATTACATTCCCATTTCTATTCCCATTCCCATTCCCATTCCCGTTTCATTCCCATTCTCGTTCCTTTTCCGTTGCTTTTTCCCTTCCCATCCCCAATATCATTCCCATTCCAATTCCCATTCCAGTCCATTCCAGTCCATTCCCATTCCCATTCCCATTCTCATTTCATTCCAGTCCATTCCATCCCCATTCCATTACATCTCCATTATCATTCCCATCCCCATTCCCATTCCTAGTCCCATCATTCCCAAGCCATTCCCATTCCAATTCCATTGTATTGCATTCCACTCCAATCAGTCCATTACCATTCCATTCCCATTCCATCCCATTGCATTACATTCCATCACAGTCCCATTTCCATTCCCATTCCACTACGTTCCCATTCACATTTGCAAACACCCCATTTACATTCCGATTATCATTCCCACTCCAATCAATTACCATTCCATTATATTATCATTCCCATTCCCATTATCATCCCGTCCCCCCATTACATTCCATTGGATACCCATTGTATCCCCATTCCGTACCATTCCCATTCCCATTCCATTACATCCCATTTCCATGCACATGCACATGCCCATTCCCTTTCGCATTCCATGGCATTCCCACTCCATTCCCAGTGCCATTCCCATTCT